GCAGAAACAAATTCTTACAAATTCCTATATTCACTACTTATTTTATGATTTATAACATAGGCCAAAGCATATCCCCAGCTCTGGGTGTATATACATAACCAACATAGATTAGGAAATGATTCTTACTACTTCAATTTGCCATCTAAACTCTGAAAATTCTCAGACTACAAGAAGACAGCAAAACACAGAAGAGAAAGCGGTCAGACCAAACCAACACTCATATACATAAAGCAAAACAAGCTAATATTCTTAGTGTTTTAACAATACGAAGATACTATTCCAATACGCATAAAATTCCTTTTCCTTGCCTTTATATCAAAGATACTTAACATGACCCTTACATCTCTCCTTGAGGTATTCAGCAAACAAAATCAATATGATGGAAAAACTGAGTAAGACAGGATGGGATTACAAATCCCTTGCTCAGTGAAAGCTCCTATAAAGTAGGCTGGGTTTAGCGTCATTGTTTCTTTATTATCTCTCATGGTTTCCTTCAAAAAGTGTTAAGAGCTTTTCTAAAGTGATGCTTTCTAACAGTTCCTCCACCCCATTACTGGATATCAATTTAGAAATGAATACACAATAGGACAATTTTCACAAGATTCTAAATGATTTAACAAAATACATATTGATAAAAGAAATGGTATTCTATCTTTCATGAATTTCTCTGAATCTTTCCCACAAGAGTGATCAATTGCTACAGCAAGTTAGAGGTTAAAAGTACCATTTCATCACATATTTTGGATTTTTGGCAGTAAGGAATGGTACCAATCCTTGTCTATCACAGACGCATTATATTTATTTTCTAAGGACTGCCTCAGAAAGGATTTTTTCCCAAGCAGGTTCCACACCCAGCACAGACCCCAATACAGGGCTTGAATTCATTGACCTGAGCAGATCCAGACCTGAGGTGATATCAAACAGGAAGCTTAACTAACTGAGCCACCCAAGCACCCCTGAGACGGTGTTTTTAATCAAATTTCAAATAACTACCAGTTGTATTACTAAATATACATTATCTTACATATTTTACAGAGTTCAAAGTTAAGTTCTGTCTTAAAGAAATATCCCTATCAGTAAGTTTTAGTTTTCAATACCTGGAAGTTTTTTTATAAATAAAATTCACCGCTTCTAAGCCTTTTAGTTTCAGATTGAGCTGACAAATCACCAGAGCTGAACGAAAAATTAGAAGAAAATTTTATTCTAGATCATAATCCAATTTTCAATAATAAGATGTATCCAATGATTGTTAACTGTGGCCTTATCTTTCATTAAGTTATTTCAACAGGAAGAGGATAAGAGTGGTTGTCTGCACATCTCCATTTTGCAATGTATTACTTTCCTATCCAAAAGCAAAAAATGAGATGTCAACCCTCCACTAGAAAGGCCAGAATAAGTTCAGAAAGTATGTAAGTTACTAGACACAAAATAGTATCAGAATATACAAAAATTTTCAAGCATACTGTTAAATAAATCCTATGAAAAGGGTCTCTATGATCTTTCAGAAAATGATTACATCAAGATCACAAAGGGTTCCAAACAACAGAAAATACAAGTGAAAAAGCAATTATTTTATAAGGTAACTTTCATGTTATGTAGTAACTTAAAACTAAAAGACATTTACATTTATATCTAAGCTATGCTAAACAGCCATTATAAGTGAAACCATCTTTATTTGATATGACATCTTTTATATGTAATACTACTAAGAGAACCACCTAAAATATTATTCATTAAAGGTTCTATTTCATTAGTCTGGTTTGTATCACTGAGAGACAATGCAAGCCACATTTGTGAATGACAAAACTCATTTTTATTCTTTTTGGTTCCCTGCCACAAATGCCAGAGTCAGATTACACATTATAGATGACTGTGGGATTTAAGTACATTTACATGAAACTGAAAATATCAAAATTCTGGGCGGGGGGGAATAGGATGCAAGAGTCTTGGAGGGGTGGGGGGACGAAAACACATTGACATCTGTTAGATACTACATAAGTGGTGGTATATTTGGGTGGTGGTTTTCCTTCAAGTACTTCCATACTCAAACTGTTCTGCCTAATCAAAGATCTGCCTAATGTGCAAGAGCTGTGGGGGAAGGGGAGATCAAATAAGAGGTTCAGATGCTATCTTTTCAAGTATCCTGTACTCCAGACTTACTCGATTTCTGAGTATTCCTTCTGGCCCGTCCTTTATTCAAATGGATCATGGACAAACATACATCCTTGTGATCTTACAAGACTACATCTGACACATATATAGTGAAATCAATTTTATAGGTCAAATGCCAAAGGAATAATCTAGTTAAGAGAAGTCTATACTAATACAGAAATTAAGAGTATACTTCTGAGATTAATATTTAGAAATCATTCCCAAAAAAGCCGTTCTTTTTAGAGTTTACAATTCCAAATGCAGTAATATGGTTAGCAAAACATCTATTCCATAAGGTAGATGTGGCCTAACAACTTGAGAGAAGGAAGGAGGCACACAGACAACAAAATACCAAAATTAATTCAATAATTAAAGTGATGGAGGAAACATGTCAGCTGCAGAAAAAAGAACTGGTTTTTCCCATTCTGGTGCTCTGGAAGATCCTTAAATTCTTATTACTTTGGTTTTAAATGGATTGAAAAATTAAAACTCTAATGGAACTTTCAGACCTATCCAAGCATAAATCCTCAGGCAAAAACTGAAAATCTGCCAAAAAAACAAAAACAAAAACAAAAACCAAACAAGAGTCTTTAACTATGATGCATTTTCCAGATGCTAATATCCATAAATGGGTAGAAGGTTACGAATTGCTAACTCTGATCTCCCCACCAATAAAATGCAAAACCAGCTCAGCAGTCAAAATTCCCAAGGAAAGCAAGGTTTCTTCTTAGTCCTGAAGCAGCCATCGCCTAAGTGCAGCTCCCTGCAGCCAACAGCATTAATGGACGCTGCACTGCTGTCCTTCCCTGGAGACAGCAGCCAGCACTACTCAAGCTTCTCACGTAGCAACCAGAGCTCCAGAGCCAGCAGCTGCTGCTGCCTTGTATACTCACCCCTGTGATCCAACCCAAAGGAACAACCTTCTCCTTACCCCACCCCCACTCCTTACACACTCTTTTTTCTTTTTTCTGGACCAGTGCTCTATGCCAGAAAGGCTGGAATTATGCTTTAAGAACCAAACAATCCTAAGGTCAACCTTTTAGTTTTAAACCAAGACCTTTTACCAAAAAAATCAAAATTCACCAAATAAATTCCAAATATCCATTTTAAAATTAAGCCAGCAACGAAGAAGTGAAGATTAAAGTTTTCATCTTTAAAAGGCCAATTTCCCAAACACTCTCTTTATAGTCAAATTTAAATTTGCAGCTAGAGACAGAGCCCTGTGTCTTATCAAAGGACATAACTCATTTTTATAAACATGACAGTATGAGTAAACCTTGAAGATTCTAATCCCATACGGGCCAGAATTTGGGGCTACATTAGAAAACTAATGATCCTCCTGAGAAAACTGGAAGAAATCCAGTAAAAAAAATTTCCTGTGTCCTCCAAGAGGCCCAGAAACCTCTGATTATGTGAATATTCTTGTTTTAGTCCTTGCTCATATGCACATTTCACACATCTAAAATTACCACTTACAACTTTTCTCTCAGAGTGACCTAAAATCATTAATGACATAAAATTAACCATCAAGAAATTTTCTCACAATTCACAAACATTCTCCTGAAAATCTCTAAACGCTCAACTCAGCTGGATCCTCCCCAATCAAAAGTATAGCTATGCAACATCTGCTCAACAACAAAAAATGTAAATATGACCTTGATCACAAATATGTCATTTAGAAGCAAGTTGTTCAGTCAAGTTATAAAGGAAATTCGCAGAGAACCTGAGGACTCTTCAGTACTATGACCACGGAGAAAATTGGAGAAATGTACTCAAGTTTAGACAAAGCCCAATGGAACCCTGAGCTCTGAGTAAGAAATGAGTTACTGGTGAACACATTGCACAAGTAACATGAGAAAGCAGAAAATGCAGGTCATACACGCACCCCTGACCCAGACCAGCAGAGCTGGCTGCAGCATCAGTATCCTAGGGAAAGACCAGTTATTGCTTCTAAGTCAGACAAGCAAAGGCGCTCTATAGAATAAATTAGCATAGAAGGGGCTTTCCCAACAGTTCAACTTTCCCTCTCGTGCGATTCACCTACTTAAAAAACCAGGGCTTTTTCTTACCACCATTCACCTTACATCCCTGGCTTCCACGCAAAGGGAAAGGGAATTCATAAAGCGTAAATTTTTCTGCTTTTAAAGACGTTCTCAAATGATCGCTCTCCACGCCCAAGGCAGGAAAAACGACACAAACTGGCTCAACTCCAGGCTCGAACCCTACAAATTCAATGAGGCTATCTCAGATACTGGGGCATACGCCACTGTAAGCCCAAGAATGTGAAGTGGGGGTGGCGAAGGTAACGTCTTTAATGTGGGAAAAGGGGCAATCATCTGAGATGGGGACCCAAGAACGATACTGAAGGCGTCCAGGAACATTATGGAGGGGGGGATAGAGGCCTCCCCTAGATCAGAGTTGTCACAAGGCCGCGCGAAAGGGGGTTGGGGTGGGGGTTAGGGGAGAGGGGGGAAAAAGTATGCCTGTGCGTTTTTAGAGAAGGGCAGGGAGAGGCCTATCAAGTAAAAGGTAAACGTGGTGTAGGCAGTTCCCAGGAAAAGGGGTGAAGAGGCGTGGGGGAGGGGAAGCGTCCTGACCCAGGAAAGGCATGAAAAGGGGAGTGGGGTCGACTAGATTACGAAGGGGGCCTCTCTCCCTGGGAAATAGGGGTGCAATGGTGTGTGGGGGGCAGCGAGGGGGATGAGAAGGGGCAGCATCCTCCTGTAAAAAGCCTGGAGAGGGCCAGGCCCACGTCCCGAAGAGCGAGCGCGGGGAGACGGAGGAGGTGACCCTTCCTTCCCCAGGGCCCAGTCGTGAGAATAGGTCTCTCTTTTCTGTCGGACCCTTACCTTGTCCCAGGCGCTGCCGGGGCCTGGGCCCGGGCTGCGGCGCACAGCACTCCCGGGAGGCAGCAGGACTCGAGTTAGGCCCAACGCGGCGCCACGGCGTTTCCTGGCCGGGAATGGCCCGTGCCCGTGAAGTGGGGGGGGGGGGGCAGAAAGGCGGAGCGAGCCAAAGGCGGGGAGGGGGAAGGGCCAGGGAAGGAAGGGGGGGGCCGGCACTACAGTGTTGGCGGACTGGCGGGACTGGGGCTGCGTGAGTCTCTCAGCGCAGGCGGGCGGCGGCCGCCCCTCCCCCGGCGGCGGCGGCGGCGGCGGCGGCAGCTCACTCAGCCCGCTGCCCGAGCGGAAACGCCACTGACCGCACGGGGATTCCCAGCGCCGGCGCCAGGGGCACCCGGGACACGCCCCCTCCCGCCGCGCCATTGGCCTCTCCGCCCACCGCCCCGCACCCATTGGCCAGTTCGCCGCCAATCAGCGGAAGCCGCCGGGGCCGCCTAGAGAAGAGGCTGTGCTCAGGGGCTCCGGCTCCTCAGAGAGCCTCGGCTAGGTAGGGGAGCGGGACTCTGGTGGGAGGGGGGGGGCCCGGTGGAAAGGAGGGAGATGGGTGGCTGAGGCGGTCAGACGGAGAGATAGGGGTCGCTTTCCCCCGCGGGCAGTAGGGAGTATAACGTTTGTTAGGCTGGAAGGGAAGGAGGTGGTCAGAGGCAGGCAGGAGTATGGCCCGCCCTGCGGCAACCAGAGGGGGAGGGAGGAGAGCGGAAAAGGCTCGAATCCAGACGGAGCCATTGCTCATGCAGAGGGAGGAGCGCTTCCGGCTCACCTCTTGTCACTGATTGGCCGCTTCTCCTCCCGCCGTGTGTGAAAACACAAATGGCGTGTTTTGGTTGGAGTAAAGCGCCTGTCAGTTACAGCCTCGGGAGTGCGCAGTCGCATGGGCACGCTCGCATTGCTCCCTGGGTGGGATGGGTAGGTAGATGGGGTGGGGAGAGAGTTGGAGGAGCGGGCGCGGTCGACCTCCCGCGGGGAGTGGAGGGTCAGTGAAAGTGCCTCCGAGCGGGCGTCCTGCCACCCGCCCCTTCCTTGGAGGGAGTCGGTTTACCCGCCGCCGGCTCAGCTTCGGCATCTGATTGGTTGCTGAAGCCCGGGGAAAGGCCCCATGCCATTGGCTCGGGTCCCAAATGAGCGAAACCACTGAGCGGGTCAGCAGGGGTGGCGGGGAGGCGGTCGTTGGTACGGTCCTTCCCGAGGCCGAGCGCCGCAGTGTCTGGCCCCGCGCCTCTGCGCAACGTGGCAGGAAGCGCGCGCTGAAGGCGGAGGCGGGCTGCTGGGCCGAGGCTTCTGGGTGGTGGCGACCGCGGCTCCGCCCCGGGCGTCCGCCGCTTGAAGGACGAGACGATCCGGATCTGCTCTCGGAGTCGCGGGGGTGGGGGAAAGAGCGGGGGTCGGTCTTGTTGGTTTGTGGGAGGGAGGTGCATGTTCTCCAAAAACGGCGCGAGCTGCAATCCTGAGGGATCTGCAGTGGAGGAGGCGGAGAGAAGGCCGCACCCTTCTCGGTAGGGGGAGGGGAGTGCCGCAATACCTTTATGGGAGTTCTCTGCTGCCTCCTGTCTCCTAAGGACCGCCCTGGGCCTAGAAGAATCCCTCCCTCCCCCGCGATCTCGTCATCGCCTCCAAGTCGAGTCGCTCCTTCTCGATTGTGGGCGGGACTTTTTTGCCCAGGCTTAACCTGGTGGCTGGGCGTTGTCCTGCAGGGGATTGAGCAGGTGTAAGATTTCTCTCTTCCCACAGACTTGAGTTTGTGTCACAAAGTAATTATAATAGGGGTAGAGGAAGGAAATAGGAGTCCAAGCATTCACCTTGCGCTAATTTTAAGCAGCTAGACTGCGTGTTATTACTACTTAAGATCCTTCTTGTAGTATTTTTTCTGTAGGTAAAGGGGAGATGAAAGGCAGAGTCATTGGAGGTTTTTTTACTCACCCCATTTGAGAATTTTGCTGACACCAACAAAGTATAGCATTTGAAATTAAATTTTAATCTTAAAATTCTAGGCCCTTTCCTAGCATCCCTTTGGTTAGAGATCTTAGCAACTCGCACTCCTACTTTCAGCGCATTTTGCATTTGTTGTACTTGCTCTTTCAATCCCCAGACATAGTAGTGGCTTTCTCCTCTCCTGTTTTTGGCAGCCCAGTGAGTCATGAAACCAGACAGATCAGTTCTTCTGCCAATTAAGGCTACCCAGTTTGAGGAGAGGCCTCACTCTTACCCAGTAATGTATTTATTCCTCCTTGAATGTTTACCTCGTTTTACACTTTATCCTTTTCCTCAGCTAAGATTCTACCCGTTGATTTCTTCACAGTCCAGATGACCTTGATTACTGCCTTACTAAGAATTGGATATGAGGTTCAGCAACACCTGCGTTTTCCCTCCTTTAAATACCTCTCAATCCATGTTTTTATTTCTGTTCTCATCAGTTAGTAACTGGGCTCAATTGGTGTAATGCTGATAGCTTCCAAACTGGTGTCTCTGCCTGTGGTATCATCTTTTTTTGTTTGTTTAAAGATTTTATTTATTTATTTGACCCGGGTGGGGTGGGGTGGGGTGGGGACAGGCTTCCTGCGGAGCAGAGAGCCCTATGTGGGACTCGATCCCAGGACCCTGAGATCATGACCTGAGCTAAAGGCAGAGGTTAACCCACTGAGCCACCCAGGCGCCCCGGTATTGTCTTTTGATCCATCAAACATGTTGCTGGGACAGTTGTCCCAACATGCAGATAGGGGTGAAAATGACTGATGCAACTCCTTTACTAGCTCCTAACTACTTATAGGATGAATTCCATCAATGTGAGGGTGATATACAAGGCCCCTCAATGGGCTGACCTTGTCTTAACAGCTTTTTCATTTGCTACAATTTTTTACGTACACTTCAAACATTACCTCTCCAGTCATACTGAATTGTTTACCCAAATCATAGTGTCATTGCTCTATCTCTTTGTAGGCTGGTTCCGTCTGAAGTGGCACCCTTGGTGCTTCTTACTCCAAGACTGTTAAAACTCAAATACCATCTTCCCTATGATCTTGCCTTCTGTCTATCTTCCCAGATGCCCAACACCCCTAAAGAAAAGTTACCAGTGCTCTTCATCTGATAGTAGGTTGAATCAGCATTTCTCAGGTTGTCATTGCTTGTTTAAATTCTCCTATTCTGAGCTGCTTGAGGTCACAGGTTCTTGTTAAGTCTTGTACCACCAAGCTCCTAGTGTATTCCCTGATAGCTAGCCAATCCTAAGTAAAATGGAATGAGCAACATGTGGATGTCTTTATAAGGTTTGATAGGTTATTGGTCTCTCAGTTTTGGATGTATGTTTCCTAGTGCTTTAGGTTACCACTGTCCAATAGAATGTTCTGCAGTGATGGAAATGTTTTGCATTTTTGCCAACCTGTATGGTAGCCACTAACCATGTATTACTATTGAGCACTGGAAATGTGGCTACTCTGACTAAAGAACTGAATTTTCAACTTGATGTAATTTAAATTGCCACTGTGTACATTGTAGCTGTAGCCAAAAAGTTGTTTGTGGGTTGCTGAATACTTAATATGCATTGATAATTTTCTCTTCATACTGAGCAGTAAGGAAACAAAACTTGGCCCGTTTAGTTTTTTTCCCTGCTTGTTTAACGTATTATCTATACTATAGTTGTACCTAGCTGAAAGCTAAGTTGAACAAGGCATTACTAAAGCTAAACTTGCCTTAGACAACAGTGTGTTAAAAAAGCAAGTGTTGACTAGTTTGGGTTTCAAAAAAGAATGCATAATGAATTTTAGGAAAGTGGGATTTCATTAAACCTTATAATGGTGACAGAAATTTAGTTAGGAATAGGACTATATCTGATATTAATGAAACCAGCCCTATATTTCAGTCCTACAAATTTTCATTTTTGGAGAAGCTTGATCAGAGGATGCCAGACCTTACATATCACATCTTGTTAGGAGCCCATCACAAAGTAAGTTGCATCCTGATAAATTATAAATTGATATATCCTAACACCAAAATATTTTTATTTATCTGCTAATACAGCATGTTGTAAATTTGTTTTTTTTTTTTTTAAGATTTTATTTATTTATTTGACAGAGATCACAAGAGGCAGAGAGGCAGGCAGAGAGAGAGAGGAAGGGAAGCAGGCTCCCTGCTGAGCAGAGAGCCCGATGCGGGGCTCGATCCCAGGACCCTGGGATCATGACCTGAGCCGAAGGCAGCGGCTTTAACCCACTGAGCCACCCAGGCGCCCCTAAATTTGTTATATTTTTAAAAGACAATTTTTTTTTTAAAGATTTCTCAGAATATGAGACTGTTAGGAATCTGTCAGTGCACACAGATAGTTGGGTTTGCTATTTAATGCAGATTTCCAGTCCCACAGCCAGAGATTCTGAATCCACTTAAGATGGGTGGGAGGCACTGGAATTCTGTATCATGTTCCTTATTTGCTTCTGATGTTGGGGGCCCAAGAATCATACTGCAAATACAGCCTCCAGGCTATATACCTATTTATTCTACAAAAATGATTATAACTTCAGAGAAACCTCTAATATTCTGTGCTTTCTACTTTGTGATTTTTTTTTTCCTTTCAAAAAAAATGAATGGAAAAACGAGGAGAAGAGTGGTAATATTTAATAGTTTTGGAAACATGCAGGTCAGACTGTTTTTCTTGTAAAAGGGATGTTAAAACACTCCAAATACATTTTTTGAACAAGAGTATTGCCTTTTTTGTCTGTTTTCCCACTAAATGCATTCATCAGGGACTTACTTTTGATTCCCCAGTGCGTGTACACAGAGCTGGGTACTCAGTAAGTGTTGGTTTTATTAATTTATACGTGAAATTGGTTTTCAAATAATAGCTAAGTCCACAAAACACAGACACAGGCTCCTTTTATGGAGAAATTTTAGGGTCATACTTAACCCTAAGTTGTCTCTTCATTCTGTTTATAAAGGAGACTGAGGCATTCCGGTCTCTCAATGCATCTGTCCACTGTTGACCTCTTCCTTTGGTTTCCTGTATGAACCATTCCTCTTCCTGTACTTCACTTCTTTGGGCTTTATTTATTTTTCCTGCAAACCAGCTACCTATCTCTTTTTGAAGTAGAGCCATATTTCTTATACTTTTAGGATAAAAGTATATCAAATACTTGTACTTCCATGAGAAAGTTGAAGGTTTCATAAAGGCTTTTACATTTTTTTTGCATTTGCAAAATTTGGACCATATAATGTTTCTGCCATATGCACACACACACACACACACACACACACACACACACAATTTATTTATTTTTAAAGATTTACTTATTTTTAGAGAGCGCATGCAAGGAACAGGGAGCCAAAGGGAGATGTGGAGAGAGAATCTCTGGTAGATTCCCCATTGAGCTCAGAGCCTGACCCTGAGATCATGACAGCTGAAACCAAAGGTTGGGCATCTAACAGACTGAACCACTCTCTGCCATTGATTTTTTTATGCAAAGAGGAAGTTTGGTACATTATGCTTTGCAGCAGTTAGTCCGGAATATGATAGGAATCAGCATCATAACGGTAAGAGTACTTTGACTATTTTAGGCCAATCTTAATTCTAGAGCACTTTATTAGGTCATATGTCTGAGAATCTAGCACCTTTACTTCAAAGGTTGAGAATTCTTGATTTTGTTAGTTTATCTAGTGACATGCTACTTTATAATGAAGAACTTACTTCTCCAGAAGTCTACCCCCCCATCCATCACTCCCTATTTTTTTTTTAATTTTTTTTTTTAAGATTTTATTTATTTGACAGACAGAGATTACAAGTAGGCAGAGAGGCAGGCAGAGAGAGGAGGAAGCAGGCTCCCTGCTGAGCAGAGAGCCCAATGTGGGGCTCGATCCCAGGACACTGGGACTATGACCTGAGCTGAAGGCAGAGGCTTTAACCCACTGAGCCACCCAGGCGCCCCATCACTCCCTATTTTTTTTTTTTTTTTTCACTTCCTATTCTTAATGGAGTGGGTAAGAAACTGGATTATTAGAGAACTGTTAGTAGCATGGAATTAAACATTTATTTTGTCCAAGTCAGGGTTGAACCTGATGGATTATTCCTGTTATCATGGTATATACCTTCCTGGTGATTAGAGAGACTATTTCTGCCTCTGATTATATCTCAGAGTCATGGTCACATTTAATAATCCTGTTTTCCAGCTTTATGACTAGAGTTCATAGTCATCGCTGATTTTTATCAGTTTGTCCTGGTATTTAGTCACCCTGTTTTTTAGTTTTGAGTTTTGTTTTTGTTCTTTACACATTTTCAGATCACATTTATACAGCTGGCTATTTTATCAGCTAACCAGCCCCACCTCTATGTATGGATTCTGGTCAACTCACTCAACACTCAACACTCTTCATAACCTTTTTTCTTACTACTGATCTTTTGTTAAAAATCTCTCCCCAACCTCTTTTTTATAATAAATAATGACAACATAAATCTATTGTGTACTATAGGCTAAGGCTAATGGAAACAGTTGGGTTAGAAGAAATGAACTAATAATCATTGAATGCCAGCTGTGTATCCCATAATGTGCCAAACTCATTGCTAGTGTATTTATTGTGGTCCTAATAATAAAACCCCATCTTTCAGAATAGGAAACTAAAGAAGTTGAACAACTTTTCTGGACACTACAACAAATTAAGAACCACAGATTTGAATTCTGGTCAGACTTGCTTAGTCAGTATTCCTTACCAGTATATGGTACTGCCTTTCTCTAATGGAAACCGCCTTTCAGGAAATTAATCTGACTGCAGGATACCAGATGGGTTCCAGGGATGGAGACATTTGAAGGTTCTTTTACAGCAGTCCAGACATGAGGTAATGTGGTTTGGTATAGAGTGATGGGGCAATCACAGTGGAAAGGAAGTTAAAGGACTCAATAACTGAATGTCAGTCACTGAGAAGAACTGTTTCAGCATAAACAGGAAACCTTCTTGATGCCCTCAGCTCCACTACATTGGATCACTCGCTTAATGTTGTCATAGCACTTCTTTTTTTTTTTTTTTTTTTTTGTCATAGCACTTCTGACAGTCATAATTACATTAGTAATTGTGTAACTGGAGATTTTCCCTACTTTTTCAGGTTCCTTCTTGAGAGAAGGATGGTGTTTATATATAGCTGTGTGTCTGTTGCTAAGTATAAGAAGGAATCAAATGGTGCAGTATATTCTTGAATTATCTAGAATTTACTTAAGCAGTACATTTAAGGTGTGAATATTTGTTTTTAGAAATTAACTTAGTTTTTAGGTTATACCTTCTATAATCCCAGCAACTGCCAATATTGTGCAATTTTTTGAAATCCTGTAGTTCTTTTTGTGCCTAAACGTAAGTATATTCCGTTGTCTTCCTGCAGTGTTTCAGATATTTCCTTAAAATATTAAAAAAGAAATTCTTAAATATAAATACACCTTTTTTTTTTTTTAGAATTTAATAACTTTATTCTAAAATAAACCAATTTATATTTTTCTAAGGAATGGATCATTTGTGGGGCACCTGGCTGGCTAAGTTGATAGAACACATGACTCTTGATGTTGGGTTATAGGTTTGATCCCCATGAAAGAGATTACTTCAAAATAAGAGAGATTAAAAAAAAAAAAGAATGGGTCATTGGCCTTAAAGAAATTATGACTACTTGGTCAACTTAGAGCCACCATCTATGTCTAAAAATGCTAAAAAGATTAAGCCAATATACAGCAGACTTCTCTCACAGAAAGAATCAACTCCAAAGAAAAGAAAAAGCTACTGTAATATCTTAAAGGGTAAGTTATTATATGACATTGCTGGAGAAATAATACACAGTTGGGGCACCTGGGTGGCTCAGTTGTGCATCTGACTCTTGATTTTTGGCTCCAGGCATGATCTCAGGGTACTGAGATCCAGCCTTGCCATCAGGCTCCCTGCTCAATGGGGAGTTTGCTTGCAATTCTCTCATCCCTCCACCTCTGTCCCTCCCGCTTTGTCCCTACCCACTCATGCCCACTCTTTCTCTCAAATAAATAAATGTCTTACAAAAAATTACACAATAACAAAAATTTTACAAAAAGCTATATACAGAGTGGACATTGCTGATTGTCTGCTGGATGAAAAGTAAAAGTCATGGCATTGTCATTTTTAAAAATAATACTTTGTCATATTAAACATTTGTGTATAGACCACAAAGTCTGCATTAATATCTAATTTGTAGAAGTATGTTTAAACCTTACAAATGGATGAATCTACAAAAATGGCTGGGCTCATTTTCCGTGTATTTGTCCCGCATCAGCTAGTCAAAGAGACTTCTGTCAAAGCTTGGCAAACATGCCCCGAAACAGTTAAAGCATTGAGTAGGTTTTTACTATTTTTAATTTATTTTTTAAAAGTAATCCCTACACCCCCTGTGGGGCTCAAACTCACAAACGTAAGATTAAGAGTCACATGCTCTACCAGCTGATCCAGCCAGCCACCCACCCCTTGAGAAACTTCTTAAAATCCTCTGATCTACACTGATGTTTTCACTAATGTTGAAAAAGCAAAAGTTGGTAAAACTGCTGGCATCTTGGCATTACTCAAGACAGTGGCACCAAAGTGTAGTAGTCATTCTTTACTGCCATGCATTTGCAAGGTAAGGGGAGGGGCGGTGTCAGTTCCACTTAAGAATGTCCTTGTGATGGGGCACCTGGGTGGCTCAGTGGGTTAAAGCCTCTGCTGCCTTCAGCTCAGGTCATGGTCCCAGGGTCCTGGGATCGAGCACCACATCAGGCTCTCTGCTCGACGGGTAGCCTGCTTCCTCCTCTCTCTCTGCCTATCTCCTCTGCCTACTTGTAATCTCTGTCTGTCAAATAAATAAATAAAAATCTTTAAGAAAAAAAAAAAGAATGTCCTTCTGAGGGGCATATGGTTGGCTCAGTCTGTTAAGCATCCAACTCTTGGTTTTGACTCAGGGTTGTGGGTTTGAGTCCTATGTCAGCTCCATGCTCAGCATTAAGTCTGCTGGAGAGTCTCTTCCTTGTGAAAACAGTAAAATCCTTTTATGAAATCTGGACCTTTAGTATGTAACTAGTGTGAGTGATGAAATAGAAAATCCACATGTAGTACTTCAGCTACATGTTTAAATTACAGTGGTTGTTTTAAGAAAAAAAAACAGTTGAGTTACAAGTGGAATTAGCTATTTTCTTTTCATGGTATTTTTACCTAAAGGTCTGTCAAAGTTGGCTATCTGGCAGACATTTTTCCAAACATAAAAGTACCTTTCAGGGAAAACAGTTGATAGCAGTTGTTAATGACAAAGCTCAAACTCTGAAGTGAAAATTAGAATTTGGGGAAAACTTGTATCCACTATCAGGAGCTTCCCATCTTCCTAATACTTAAAAGGACTTTTTTTTTTTTTTTTTTTAAAGATCTTATTTTTGCAAGAGCGCACACCCACACACATGCGTGTGCACACTAGCAGGCATGGGGGGAAGGGAAAGGGAGAAGCAGGGAGTCCCCACTGACCAGGGAACCCACGTGGGACTTGATCCCAGGACCTGAGCCGAAGGCAGACACTTAACTGACTGAGCCACCCCAGTGCTTCCCCTCCCTTTTTTAATGAGCTAGGTGGTGATACTAATCTAATTTGCACATATTATGTAATGAACTGGGTCAGCATCTGAGAGATTTATAGAACTTGGGTGAACCAGTATTTTCCAAATGACCAATACATGAAATGACAAAAATTACAAATAAGTAATATTTCAACCAATACAGAAAATACACAAAAATCCAGCTACCTTCTATTGAGGCAGACATTTAAGAGAAATGAATTGCAAAAAAAGAAAACAGTATTACTCTATTGAAAATAGTTACTTCTATGAAAATGTTAATGATGCATTTATTACTATTAAATTTTTCTCAGTTTTAATTTCTAATGTAGAAATTAAGGATTTGGGCTTACGAAAAACTAAAATACCATTCTTACCTAGTGAAAATGTTTTTATCAAAGAAAGTATCACTGAATAGCTACTAAACTGATTAGCAAACTTGTTAGCCTTGAGACAAAAGTATAAGGGTGACAGAGTAGTAGGCCTCTTACAAACAATGATAAAGTACCAAGGTACAGAAATTTGGTTTTTCTCATGTAATTTTCAAACCTGCACCATATCCCCCTGAGATTCCCACATAACATCTAAACTTCTTGGGAAAGGCTATGCAGAGAATAAGGGTGTCTTACTTTTTCTATGGCTAGCTCACTGATATTAAACATTTAAATTTCCAAGTGCATGGGCGCCTGGGTGGCTCAGTGGGTTAAAGCCTCTGCCTTCGGCTCAGGTCATGGTCCCAGGGTCCTGGGATGGAGGCCCACATCGGGCTGTCTGCTCAGCAGGGAACCTGCTTCCTCCTCTCTGACTGCCTCTCTGCCTATTTGTGATCTCTCTCTCTGTCAAATAAATAAAATCTTAAAAAAAAAAAAAAATTCCAAGTATCCAACAGTTACCCTTGTATTTCTCAGATGAACATATACTGACCCATATGATGGGTCGAGCACAAATTTGGTATACTTAAAAACTAAGCCAACATGCAAAAATACTATTTTATTCAGCAAATATTAAATGCCCACTTCAGCAAGTACTCTGCCAGGCACTTGGTAGGTAAACAGTGGTGAAAACAGACATAGTCCTTTTACTTTCCATTTCTGCCGATTACTGACCTAATAGTTAAGGGTTTAAATGATTTATAAAAAGAGGTGAAAGATAGGGGTGCCTGGGTGGCTCAAGTTGGTTTAGCATCTGCCTTCAGCTCAGGCCATGATCCCAGGGTCTTGGGATTGAGCCCCATGTCAGGCTCCCCGCTTTGCCTCTTCCTTCTGCCATTCTCTCAAATAAAAAATCTTTAAAAAAAAAAGAGGTGAAAGATTGTTTCATGATGAACCCAAAAGAGGGCAGCTATGCTTTCTGATGGTAAAAACTCCAGTCTAGGATATGAAACCCTTATAAGTATCTTCTACTTCATGCTAAAGTGTGGGGTAATAGTAGATGCAGAGAGAAACCAGACTAGGGCTGTTGGCTATACTGTTTATGTGAATTCTTTCAAAGGAAAGGTGTCCTTTTATTATTCTAAATGTAAGATACCTAAAACTTTCAAATAAACTGAATACTGTAAAGAACTGCACATGCACCTCAAGTACTATTTGTCCCAGGGATGCATCATTTTTGTAAGGACTTAATGTTCATTTCATTTTCCAGTCAGGATTTTATCCAACTGGAAAAACAGCTAAGTATGAATACAGATCCAAGAAAAAATAGAAGAATTCTCATGAAGTTTTCTTTTTTTCTTAAAGACTTTGAGAGAATCTGCAATTCCTTTGATCAATCCTAGTCCTCTATTTTAGTTTTATACATTAATTTTAATAACATGCATATTTTAATTTTTAAGGCAGATGGTAAACTTTCCAGTTGGTCTTGTGAGACTTCATCTTGTCATGGGGCAAACACTATTCACAAAATACAGTGCTTCGTTTTATTAAGGGTGAGGTAAAGCCGACTTGAGAAACTATGAAGAGCAAAGCTGAATGCAATATGGCCCAAAATGTTTTGATTATGTTCTCTTCCTTTCCTTCAGGCCAGGGTAGCTTTCTACCTGCTACAGTGGAAAAAAGGAACTGCTATGAAACCTGAAAACATACTCAAAACCCAAATCCCAGAGCATTTTAGTAGGCTTAGGATCTTGAAAGCATTTAAGTAGTAATTGCCCAGCCAGTCCTTCCAAAATATCTCCAGAGCTCTGCTTAAGAACTTCAATTCCATTCAGACCTTTTACTAACAGAGGTGAAGAGCTTTAGACCAGTTTAAACTGCAAACTGCAATTTTATTAACAGTATTTTTCTTTCAAACCAAGTTCTTCATGCTGACATTCCCAGTGTTGGGAGGCACAAATACCATTAACCATCTTCATTCTTTGCATCACCAAGGAGTTCTTTCCCCATCTTGTTCTGAAGGATGAACAAAAGCTTGAGGTGTACGTTTCAGAAGATAAACTGCTGCATGAAGACCCCCTATGTTCACCCAGACAGTATGTGCCTTCCGCCAAACATGTCCCAGTCCAGATAATGCCTGCGTACACACAAAAAGGAAAAGTAATTAGCAGAAAATCTGTAGGCCAATCAGCAGCCTAGCTGGTAGTAAGAAACCATGGGGGAAAGGAAAACAAATCCTACTCAAACTAATACACCTTTTTTAAAAAAAAAGTTTTAATAAATTAAAAGATCCTAAAGTTGCCACAGGGTGAATTTTTGGGCTAATTTACAGCACCTTGGTAAAGCATTTCTTGTCCTGAGTAAGTAGTGCAGCTCGGCCTGTCCCTGGTTTACAGACACGGCTCATCTCCCGTAGGCAAGCTGGATAAAGGTTCCAGTTTCTCTTCTTGGAGCCCATCCTAGAGAAGAAGATCCAGTGAATCAAACACTTAGTAGATAAACATCTAGAACTAGAAACGAGAAGTTAAAAACTCAGTACAATAAAATGCTGATGCCTAAAAATGAGTAATCTGACTTAGAAATATGAAACAGATGAACTGGCTACAGAAAAATTTGTTTTGACAACTATAATAATTGTGTAAGTTGTCCTCTTCATGACTATAATAAACACATTACATAAACCAAACCAATGATGAGAAAACATTTATCCTGAGGATTAGAACCAAATTTTCCTCAACCTTTGGGAAGTATCTTGTAATTCATCAATGGGCCAGGAAGTGGGTTAGCTTGTGATGGTCAGGATCAAAATGTGGTTAATTAATGAGTTTTCAGAAGAAACAAAACACATGAATCCATCATATTATAATTCTTAAGTGAAAAAGTGCTCTAAGTCTACTAAAAGAAATCGAAGATTTCTGATAGAATCTTAGAAGATAAAATGGGTACTAGTTTAACAAGTGAAGGTAAAACTCATTTTTTTAAAAAGCCAAGTCCAACCTTTTTCCAAATGGCATGTCTGTCACGATAATGTCCACAGAGCCAGTTCTCAATGGCAGATTGCAGATATCCCACTGAACAGCATCTATGGGCAAGCTCCAGGACACTTTGCTATAGGGACAAAGTCAATGTGTTTATTATTTTGAAGTATGAAGTCTAAAAACATGAAGAAACTGTTATAAAATACAAAATGCTACTAAAATGATAGTATCTGTGACAACATTAACAATAAGCAAAATTTTTAAGCCAAAATGTAGGAAGAAAGCATAAGGTCATATGATAAAACTTCTAATGACAAAATCTGTAATAACTATTTAAAAAATGGTTAAGATTGGTTTCAAAAGATAATCTGGTTTCATCTACAATTTAAGAAAACAGATCAAGGGATGAACAAGACTAACACAAAGAACTGCAAAAGATGATTGACAACAGTAATGAAGCAGTAATATTATATAACTGAACGTAAAACGTCAGTGAACACAGGAAAAAAGATTATGAAGTGACACATCTGAAGTTTGGTAGATCTCAATAACAAGAAACATCTGCAAAATTAATAAAATAGTGGTATTTGTTTAAAAAACCTGTGGCACATAGAAGACTGAAAAAAATATGATAAATGACAATGAATATAAATGATACAAATCCTCTTCATTAAAGCAAAGCTGCTCTATAAGAAGCAAGATACAAAAGGCAGTAACATACAGGCTAAGAAAACAAATCAGGGGCCCCTGGGTGGCTCATTGAGTTAAAGCCTTTGCCTTTGGCTCGGGTCATGATCCCAGGGTCCAGGCATTGAGCCCTGCATTGGGCTCTCTGCTCGGCAGGGAGCCTGCTTCCCCTGCTCACTCTGCCTGCCTCTCTGCTTACTTGTGATCTCTGCCTGTCAAATAAATAAATAAAATCTTTTTTTAAAAAAAGGCAAATCAAAGACTGAGAAGAAATAAATGGTTATTCTATTGAGAGATACTGAAGAATTTAAGAGAAAATGTGCAATAAAGGCTGTTGCTCCATAATGGGGGGGGGAAGCACAAATTATAAAAAATAAGCACATTAATCACATTTATAGGCACCAATAATTGCAACAAAACAAGAAGTGAACATAAAATATTAAGAGACTGATAAATAGTACAGGTAGAATAGACAAAAAAGGTACAGTGTGTCTGAAAAGCAAGATAAAATATACAGAAAATAGAAATAAATTGTTTAAAAATGTTTTATTATCAGGTTTCAAAAAAACGTAATGTACTAAGCCCCAAGAAAATTTCAATAAATATGCAACAAAATGTACCATAAAAATTCACTGTCAATAAAGCAAATTAAAACCTCTGAACTACTTACGTACAAAAAATGATCTAAACCCTTGCTATTCAGAGTTGGGCCATACCATAGCCCAGCAGCATGAATACCACCCATCGACTTGCTAGGAAACAAACTCCCAGGTCCCATCTGAAACCTACTGAATATGGATCTAGTTAACAGGATCCTCAGGTGACTCATATGCACATTACATTTTGAAAAGCACTGCCCTGAGCAACTAGATCAGTGAGACAAGTACACAACCAATGATTTAAAAAGAAACCAAAACAGGAAATTTTATCATTAAAGAAAAACATAGCATATAACTTAAAATTTTAAGTAACAAATTTAAAAAACCTCAACAGGAAATAGGAATAAAGAAACAAGCAGTGAGGGGCGCCTGGGTGGCTCAGTGGGTTAAAGCCTCTGCCTTCAGCTCGGGTCATGATCCCAGGGTCCTGGGATCGAGCCCCACATTGGGCTCTCTGCTCTGCAGGGAGCCTGCTTCCTCCTCTCTCTCTCTCTCTCTCTCTCTCTCTCTCTCTGCCTGCTTGTGACCTCTGTGAAATAAATAAATAAAATCTTAAAAAAAAAAAAAAGCAGTGAGCATAAAAAACAGAACAAACAGTATATGAAACAACTAAACAAAGCACCAGTGATTCTAATAAAAAAAAAATTAGTAAAGAGAATAACCAACATACAGACATAAAATAATATGAAGGATACCATGTATAAGTAATAAATAGGAATATCTGCATCAATTGGATATATATTTTTTAAAACCATTGATTTCTATTTACAGATATAAACCTCACATTAAGGGTTATGGAGGCAGCTGCTTCTAGGTTTGCTAAGGCCAGTCATGGGATATAACCACTTCCCTGGGCTATGTATTCAGGATATCGAGCATCTGTACAGTTCAACAAATATAATGACCACTACCCACTCCTGCCACCTTCCAAGAAAATACAGGGTACCTTTATCTAAGGGCAATATATAAAATAAGGGCACCTAATTGTTTCACAGAAACACTTTTATGAGGCCTCTGGTGAGAAGACCAAGTGACATTTCAACCAATTCTTCCAAAGACAGATGAAACTGAAAGAACAGTGAAAGGCTGGCACAACTTGCATCACTGAATGTAACTTGTAGTAGTGGGCCAGGGCTTAAGATACCGTAACAAAAAATTTCCCAGATACCAATGGACTTCCAGTGCACAGAAAGGATACAGGTGAAGGGGCTTAAAATATTTTGCTTGCAGGAGAGAGGATTTTGGAGGCGGAGGAGGAGGAGTTTTGGTAGCCCATCAAAGATCTGATGTCAAGCATCGTGTGACACAGAGCTAAGATTTTTCTTTATAGATCCAAGTGGGTCTAAAACAAATTTACAGAAGGTACAGAGAGGAATTCAGTTCATGACTAGCACTCCCAAGTTGTGCAAAGCCAGAACTGACAGCCTTCAGAGACAGAGACATTAGAGATAGTGATACAGACTGGAAGACCATTGGTCAGGATCTCCTATAGGACATTTAGGTACTGTGGATATGGCTTTCAGGTTTCTTCAACTCTTGAGACTGCTTTAGAGTGCCAAATAATAGAGGAAATTTCTACACAAATATGCAGTTATTTAAAAGACAGGAATATAAAAATCTAAAAATATTCAAAGTGGGATTTTATAAAATTAAAATGAATCAACACAGTATTTTTCCACTAAGTAAGAAAAAAGATACACAAATAAGAAAAAGGAAGACAAATAAACACAGTTGCACTAGGTGGAGAAATTATAGTTAAAAACATGTTTTTGTAAGTTATTTTCAATAAATGGCTTTAAAATTTAATGGAGTCTCAGTGATCCTAAGGGGCACGTGCACCCGAATGTTTATAGCAGCAATGTCTACAATAGCCAAACTATGGAAAGAACCTAGATGTGCATCAACACGAATGGATAAAGAAGATGTGGTATATATACACAATGGAATACTATGCAGCCATCAGAAGAAATGAAACCTTGCCATTTGCGACGACGTGGATGGAACTAGAGGGTATCATGCTTAGCGAAATAAGTCAATCGGAGAAAGACAACTATCACATGATCTCCCTGACATGAGGGAGAGGAGATGCAACATGGGGGGTTAAGGGGGTAGGAGACGAGTAAATGAAACAAGATGGGATTGGGAGGGAGACAAACCATAAGTGACTCTTAATCTCACAAAACAAACTCAGGGTTGATGGGGGGAGGGGGGTTGGGGGGGGTGGGATTATGGACATTGGGGAGGGTATGTGCTATGGTGAATGCTGTGAAGTGTGTAAACCTGGCGATTCACAGACCTGTACCCCTGGGCATAAAAATATATTATGTGTTTATTAAAAAAAAAAAATTAAAAAAAAAATTTAATGGAGTCTCACAGTATGTTCATTTTAGTTACAATGTCACAGTGCACTGGAAGTATTCATAATGTCAATATAAAAAGTAACCATCTAAGTCTAAGAAATGCTACAAAATCTTTTAAATTTTTACCCTTCTTTAATTTGGCTCTTGGTCAATAAAGATGAGATGTTATTTGCTGCTCTATTCACAGCCAACGGATTATTATCACCAGCAATATGATAACAGTTAGACCATTCAGTAGCCCCCTAAAAGACAATAGTATATATTAAAACCAAAGTAGCAAACTGCAAACAAAACAAAACAGAACAAAAATTAAAAAACACCCCAAAACCCAGAAATGATTAAAGGGAAACTCATTTCAAATGACTGCCAATAAACTAGACAATCCAATCTAATAATCCAATGCTTTTCTAAAGTGGTAGAACGCTGCATGTTGTGAACTTTGCTATTCCCCTTGCTTGAAAAGCCCTCCTGTTCTTCACTTGCTGAATTCCTATTCATCTTTCAAGACCAAGCTCAAATGTCACTCTCTCACATCAACCCCAACTCTCCAAGCTGTCTCTCATTTGCCTCCCCAACCCTATCAGTACCATTTTAAAGATGTTTTTAAATAGAAGTGTAAGGGCCCAGAAAGAAGTCTTACAAATATTTGGGGTCCCTTAACCTTCATTTCGCAGCTAATCACTGAATGAAGTTAGAAAGCTCTTTCAAGCCTTGTCCCCATTTTCTTGGTTGTAAAATTTGACCAATCTGAACACAAGGCTTCATTTGCCTCCCCAACAAAAGCACTTTGTACATACTGTCACTGCACTTGTTTTTTAATTATTTCTATACCTGTCTGCCTTTCAAGGAATCTCCCTAAGGACAAGTCTGATATTTTATTCAATCCCTCAGGCAGCAGTGTCTGGCACATAGTAAGCATTACAAACCTGAAATACAACCATGGTTTAAAAAACTTAACAAAATTAAAGTCACCAACCTATATCCTTTTGTCATTACAGGATTTTATATAGAAATTTTATATATATATAAATATATTTGAAAATTTCTAAATAAAATGTAATATACACTACATTAAGTTTCTGAATGATCACCGCTACATCCCTGAAAAGATTCTGTAATGTTAAGTCAAAATCATGTCGACAGAACATAAATACCAACGATACATGTCATTTGTGGAATGGAGGTAACACCCTACCCTAGGATGAACAATGTTCTAGATTCACAGAAGGTTTCTGATACGAAAGCAGAGGGAAGTTTTGCCCTCTGTTTAGGGATGAGGAACAAGTACCTCTCTTCCTTTGTAAACAGTAATACACTCATATCCATGAACACAAGGCTTCATTGTCTTTTCTTTTACCCACATACTTGAAGGTGATCTAGAGGGAATGTAGAAGAGACCTACAGATTTTGATGAAAGCCTCTCAATTGATTCTGATTCCCCAATACTCATTTTTTTCATCTAAATCTGTTTAGATTTTCAGCCTCTGCAAGAGATGAATTTTGTAGTACTTCCAAATTTTAAAAGAACTCAGATCACTATTTTATACTTGCGTGAACAATTCTGTATACATGTCTTGTCAATTCCTTTCATAACTTCATTCATTCTGATCATGTATCATCTTAAATTTTTCTATATTAACATTCTCATGTCTACTTTTTTTTTTAAAGATATGTTTTATTTATTTGACACAGAGAGAGAGAGATCACAAGTAGGCAGAGAGAGAGAGTGGGGGAAACAAGCTCCCTGCTGAGCAGAGAGCCCAATGGGGGGCTCGATCCCAGCACCCTGGGATCATGACCTGAGCAGAAGGCAGAGCCTTCAACCCACTGAGCCACCCAGGTGCCCCTCTCATGTCTACTCTTAAATGGAAATGCCTCAACCTTTATCTGTATCTTTTGGCAGGGTGGGGCGGGGGGGGGGGCTCTTCTGGAATCTTTCTAGCTCTGTTGTATATTTCTTGACATGTGGCAACTTTCCCTTCTATTTAAAACATAGGTACATCATGGTTTAATGCTTGGTTCCTTGAATTCTTAACAACTTGAGTTTTCTCTGTGGGCAGCTCTTTAGTCAGAGTAAATTTCTCTAGCTCACACTACCAGGAAACAATAGTCATCTAGACTACCAAGATTTCCTTCTAGGATTTTTAACTCCCAGATGACACATGTCATTTTCTAATTGCAGTTTGGATTATTTTTCCAATATAATTGGGTTGCTTTGGACTTGTTCATCTGTCCAGTTTCTGCCCACTCACAGAATCTGTGTATCTCCTTGCAGTTTATTCCCACTGGCTTTAAATATACTCTATATAAGAAATTACTATGTCTCATAAATTTAAGCAATTTTTTTAATTTAAGCAATTTTTAAAAATAAATTTAAGCAATTTCAAAGAGGAGCACCCTCTTCCAAATTTTTGTTAAAGTTTAGATAATACTGATTCAAGGAGACTCTCCTGTTAAATGTTCTTCACTTAAAAAATGCCTTTCCAGGGACGCCTGGGTGGCTCAGTTGGTTAAGCAGCTGCCTTCGGCTCAGGTCATGATCCCAG